GAGGCTTTCAGAAAAATTTTATGCCAAAATTATAGGCCTCACAAAAGAACCTATAGTATGTTATTTAATCAGGCAACCTGAGAAGGGCAAGTTTGGTTAATATAGCAGCCATAAGGAATGAGGAGCCTATGTAAAAACTAAGGTTGTCAGATTCATCAATATGTTAAAATAAAACTATTGTATGGAAAGTTGTTAGGGAAAAGATAGTTTTGTAACATCACAGATTATTGATTGTGAAGGGCAAAAACTACCTTTACAATGGTGAAATCCAGCAGATATCTCCTCAATCAAGCGATTAATCATTACCATCAATAATGGGGAAATGGACATTATGTGTCTTCAGATGTGATCCTGTGGATATTACAGCATCTCCTATAGTCTTATTGTCAAAGAAAAAGCTTACTATGAATTTAATTACAAAGCAGTAATCAGTCACATGGAGATTATGGGACATCCTATAAGATAATTGATGTGGAACCTTAAAATATGTCCATATGATGAGAAGCAAAGCAAAGGTTAAAGGACCATGACAATTAAATGCAATGCATGATCCTTCATTGGACAGGGGGCAAAAAGGTATTAAAAACATATTGGGACAAGTGGAGATTGTATAAGAGAAAAATGTATCAAAATTATATTTCTTGGGTATAATAGTAATGTGACTTAATAGGAAGATGTTCTAATTCTTAGGAAATATATTTTAAAGTATTTATTAGAAATTACATGTTTAAAACTTATTTTCAGATGATTCTGCAAAGAAAAACAATGTGTGTTGGACAGCAATACAGCAAATGTGGTGAAATGTTAACAATTATTAAATCTATGTAAAAGGTTTACAGGTATACCTTTCTTTTTGTTTTTCTTTTCAGTATGTTTGGGAAAATTTTCAAAATTAAAAGTTAAAAACACCAAGTAAGTATCAGATCCCTAACTCTATACAAGATTGAAAGTTACGGGGCATAGGATCCAGGGAAATCTCCCAAGAATTCTCTGTCAATGGTTTTCTCTCTCTAATACCTTGGACTTAGGAGCAGGAAAAAAAAATCAAGGTAAAAAGGAATATTTTTAAAACATGAGCCACATGGTACATAAGAAAACTCTTAGGGAACGTAGGCTATCTTAAAGTTAGGGCCAATCTTTCCTATTCATAATAAAGTAATGGATAATAAACTTGAACTTAGTATGAAAAGGAATGGATGTGACTTCCAGAAAGTATAGAGTTTGGGTTGCGATACGAGAGTTGGTGTTTGGAATGCTAAGCTGCAGCCACTGTCATGGACTATCTAAAGAGACTCATATGTCTAAGGTAGCAAATGAAGCTAGGACTTGAGCCCAGCTCTTTTATGCTTAACACATGCTTAACACACGTAAAAGTGGAGACCGAGGAATATAAATGGGTGAGACATCAAAATAATGAGAAATGGAGTACCAGTTAGAAACTATGTTTGAAGGAAAAAATTGGTAGCTAAGTCTTTCTTCAAATGGCAGTTTATCTTAATGTTTATATGTAAAAATGTTTGGTCATTTATTTAGTTGTGCTATTTTGACTTTAATAAAAGTCTCTTCTAAATTCCTTTATGTACTATTTTGGAAAAGGCAAGTGGTATGGAATGAAAAGAGTATATAGGAATCGGTGGACAATTAGCCTTAAAATGAAGTCCATACACTTTTTTATATATTATTTGAGCTAAGCGCTGTTCTGCATGTGTGTTGGACAGCAATACAGCAAATGTGGTGAAATGTTAACAATTATTAAATCTATGTAAAAGGTTTACAGGTATACCTTTCTTTTTGTCTGACTCAGCAGTCCTTTATTTCATTATGTTTCTGACACACCTCCCACAGATAATTCCTTAGGAGGTTTAAATGATATCATGTATATGAAAAGGCTAGAGAAATTAAAGGGTTTACTCCATACATAATTCAGGTATTTTTAAAATTGAAGGTATTTTTACTTTGAAGGCCATAAGGACAAGTCAGATATAGTTCCCACCCTCAGAGAATTTACAGGGAATTGAATCAGATATGTATATCAATCACTGTCATCCTATAAGCTACACTGTGTTATGTGTCACAAAATAGTAGTGGGAAGAGAACAGGTTTGCAAGTTACACAAGTAGGACCATAGCATTTGCCATGTACTGTGCAGCCTTGACAAAGTGACCCAAGTCTTGGTTTTATCATGAGGAAAGTGCGAAACCCTGCTCTGCTCAGGAGTCATGAGGAGTGATAATGTCTTAACAGCACAGTGACTGACACAAAGCATTGCATAGGTAATAATGATATTGTTGTGACCTATTTTTATTTGTCTCAATATTCTATATTTTCCCCAGCACCAATAGCACCATTTGGTGGCTGCCATCAGAATTATATATGATACTGTTGAGGGTCAACTCAATTGACCTGTTGTACTAGTACCCTTTGAGACCTTTATGAGGTATCAGTCTGTAATCTTTGGATGCATTTATTCATCTTTTCTGTATTATATTTGGGTTGTTTTCAGTTTTTGGTTATTATGAGCTGTTGATATGACTATTCTTTTTTAAAAAAATATGTTTTTACTAGAGGCCCAGTGCACAAAATCGTGCATGTGTAGGGTCCCTAGTGGCTGCCGGCTGCTGCCGGGGCCTTCCTTCATTTCGCACCACCCCCTGGTGGTCAGCGCACGTCATAGTGAACCATTGAACTGGTCGGTCGAACTCCGGAGGGGACACTTTGCATATTAGGATTATATATATATATAGATAAATTTTGAGAGAGAGAGAGAGAGAGAGAGAGAGAGAGCGAGAAATATCAATTGGCTGCCTCTGCTCACCCTCTACTGGGAGTCAGGCCTGCAATCCAGGCATGTGTGCTGACCAGGAATTAAAGGATTGACCATTTGGTGCATGGGACAATGTTCAACCAACTGAGCTACACTCACTGGGCTGACTGTTCTTTATACAGATGTCTCAGGCACATGTACAAAAGGTTTTTGAGGGCATAGACCTAGGATTGGAACAGTCGTAAAATGCCAAACTTTCCCAAAGTAGTCAAATAAATTTATACTCAAAACAGCAGCAGTGGATGAGCATCCCTTTGCCCATATTCTCACAGATGCTTGTGAAACCTCCTTCATCATTATTACTCAAGAAATCTCATTGTAGTTTTAATTTGCATTTCCCAGATTAGATAGCATGCTTTTCAATTTATTTAAGCCTTTTTCAAATGTCTTACAATTTCATAATTTTCGTCAGCAAGAGATAGTACATATTTTGTTAAATATTCTTAGACATGGTATTTCTATTGTAAGTGATATTTCAAAAACATTTTTCTAACCTTTGCTGGTATGTAGAAATACAACTTTTTAATGTTAATTTTTGTATCTGACAACTTTGTTATTCTCTTATTAATTTAGTTGTAGATTCTTTGGGGTTTTCTACATAGACAGTCACAACATTTGGAAATGATAACAGTTTTGTTTCTTAATTGTTATATATCTCTTCTTGCTTTAGACCACTTTATTAGATTCTTACAAGTTTAGAATTTCTGTATTTTTCTGTTGAGAATGTTTTATTATTCTGTCATGACCTTTTTCTCTATTAATGTCCTTGACTTCACGTGTCTTTTTTTGATATTAATATAGCACATTGGCTTTCTTTTAAAGAGTTTAATGTTAGCTGCGGAGTTCAATCCATTTGCATTTATGTGATTTCTAACATTGGATTTTTTGAACCAAGTTATTATTTTTTAAATTTATTTAACTCTCCTAACATCCCCACTCCTCTCCCATTTCTCTTACCTTCTTTTGGATTCACTAGCATTTTTTAAAAAAAAACTATTTGGAAGTTATGTGCTCTGTGTTGGTTCTTTTAATAGTTACCTCACTATTTTAATATACATACTTAACAGAATATACAGGTAATTAATATGTATTTTTTTGTCAAACTTACCTTTCCTCTTTCCCATTAGTAATTATTATTGTTTTATACAATTGATGTTTATTTAGGTTTACCCACATACCTGATGAGTATTTTTGTTTACCATTTCTTCTTTCATTTCTGTCGTTACATCTGGAATCATTTTTCCTTCCTCCTCCATGGTGTTCATTATAATATCCTTTAGTGAGAGGCTTATTCTGTTTTTGTTCTTTTGAGTATGCTGTTACTTTATTCTTTTGGGAGACAGTGTGACTGAGTATGAAATTATGGTTTATAAGTTAGTTTCTTTCCTGCCAATGAAGATATTTTAGTGTCTTTTGGCATTCTTTATTGCAGTTAAAAAGTTATTGTGAGTCTAATTGATATTTCTTTATAGATGATCAGTCTTTACTTTCAGGCAGATTATAACATCTCTTTATCTTTAATATAATGTGGTTTTATGATGTGTTGAGTGAGGTGTGAATTTCTTTTTATTATGCGTGTAACTTATTGGACTCTTCAGGTCTGCAGATTGGTTTTCATCAGTTCTCAATAATCTTTGCCATTATCTCTTTGGAAATTTAACTTACTCATATGCTGTGTGTTCTGATTACATATATGTTGTTTTCTTATATTTAACTCCTACTTAATATCTCATTACCTTTTCATCATATTTTTCATCTCTTTGTGCTACATTCTGGATTATTTCCTCAGATAGATCTTAAACTACTTGGTCTTGATATTGACTGTTTCTAAATTATGAAATATATAGTGAAGGCAATTGATATTTGGAACTATAGTCTATAAGAAATTGAGTCATTGAAATGAATTAATTTGCTCTTCTCTCCATGGCTTATTCCAGTAGTATAATGACACCATCCTATGGAAAATGAATATGTGGATTGATATTTACATTTATTGTATCTAAAAATTATTTCCCACTTTCAAAATATGCCCTGTATCACTTCTTAATTTGAAAAACAAATCAAGTGCTTTTATTTTCTAAAATATATATTAATAATTTTAGATGGAATCAAGGCTAACCTTAAGGTTTTACCTTTTATTTTGCTGTCATCCATATCAAATTCTTCTAATGTGAGTTTAAAAGAATTTTTTTTATTTATAAAAGTGCTCCTCCAGCTGATGGTGAACTTTATACATTTTTCCTACTTCTTTTTTTCTTTTACTTTTCAATAAGAAATTTCAGTGATTATTTTATAGGAAAGTGTCTGTATGTCAAATAATGTCTCAGTCATTTATGTGAAAGTAAATATATTACAATTATTCTCTCTATTTGATTCACTATCATGACACCAATGAACCTTAATCATTTTATTAATATTGAAAGCACTTATTTGAATTTGAGTTGCTGAATTATTTAATATTACTTTTAAAAATTTAATTACATTTCAAGAAGACACAAAATGAACAAAACAGAAAGGTCCTTTAAAGGGAAATTAAAACCATGATCATAGATTTTATTTTATAGAAAGTTCTTTTAAAATGGAGAAAAAAACTCTAAAATAACTGCACTATAATGACACATTAATAAAAATTGTATAAAAATGTATGTATATATATATATATTATGTAAAAACAGAGTAAGCCTTTAAAACATGTAAATAGTTCAATAACCCCAAAAGAGGAGTATCTATAAAATCTCTATAAAAATTAATGTAAGATATAATTTGATAAATGATGCATATTTACATTTTAATTTTAGAAAGAATTGTAATTTTTTCCAATTTTCTGTGAAGAAAGGTCATCAAAATTATGTTCCTGCCAATTTTCTCGTAATAAAATACTTTCAATTGACTGTGTGTATGGTGGAAAGAGGGGGTGTAGCAGATAAGAGAGGAGGGTGCTGCTGCATTAGCAGAATTTTATTCTGTTCCAGCTTCATGCTGGATATGACAAACCTGAGTTCTTACTGTTTTTCTGGT